ACAGCCCTCAGCGCTCATGCTCGCTCTGACACCAGGCACCACGGCGGGGGGGTCACCCCACAGCCCTCAGCGCTCATGCTCGCTCTGACACCAGGTACCACAGGGGGGAGGTCACCCCACAGCCCTCATGCTCGCTCTGACACCATGCACCACGGAGGGGGTCACCCCACAGCCCTCAGCGCCCATGCTGGCTCTGACACCATGCACCATGGGGGGGTCGTCACCCTACAGCCCTGAGCACCCACGCTTGCTCTGACATGACCTGACGGGGGGACACCCTGACCTTGCTGCAGGCTACACTGGGCAGGGGACACCAGGACCAGACGAGCACTACCTGTAGGTGCCGCATGTTCCTGAGCAGGACGTCCCCGATCCTGCGGTGGCCACCGCGTGTGTGGGTGCCCAAGGGTCCTTCCCTGGGAAAGACAAAGAAGGTCAAGCCCCTGAGAGCATGGGGCTGCAGTGCAGGCCATGCAGCTGGCAGTGGGGGCCGGGGAGGCAGGGGAGAGGCTGGGGTCAGGCTGTTGTGCCCACGTGGGGTTCAGGACAGGGCTGCGCCCGTGTGGGGGGCTCAGGCCGGGGCTGTGCCTGTACAGGGAATCAGGATGGGGTCCACGCCCATGTGGGGGTTCAGGATGGGGTCTGTGCCTGTGCGGGGGTTCAGGATAGGGTCTGCGCCCATGAAGGGGTTCAGGATGGGGTCCGTGCCTATGCAGGGGTTCAGGCTCAGGACGCTGGCATTACCAGAGTGCCAGCGTCTGCTCTAGCTCCTGCAGGAAGCCGCGGTGGAACTCATAGATGGGGTCAATGTTGGAGAAGAGCAGGGCCCTCAGGTCCTCAGGCATGGCGTCCTCCTTCACCACTGCGCAGCGGAACCACTGCAGAGAGAGCGGGCTGACACTGACAGCCCTTGGGGCGGACCTGACCCCAGAGCCAGCACCCCAGCTAGGTCTGCAGCCTGAAGCCTGGCCTCGAGGGGGCCTGCTCTACTGACCACCCGCTGTCAGGACAGACACCCCAGCCCAGCTTCGCTGGCCCGAATAGCCACGCCCTCTGGCAGACAGACCAGCAAGTCCACTATGGTGGTCTCGTGACAGTCGAGGACGGTCCTCAGGACGGAGCCCTGCCTAGGTGGATTTAAGAAGCCCTGGGAAACCACAGTGACAAGGACTCAGGCCTCGTACCACAGTGAGAACTTCCAGGTCCTTCAGGTAGGTCCGTTCTGTAGCAAGAATTTCCTTTGCTATAAAGTATGCTCGGTCCGTGGGCACGTGCTGAAAGAAAGAGATGCTGGTCACAGGTGAGCAAGGACCGCGGGCTGCTCCTGGGCATGGCCGAGGGTCCATGCGCTGTCCACCCGTAATGACCCGAGGGGCTCGCGTCTAGGTGTGCTGGTCACAGTGAGGCTGTCTGCCCCGGGTCTCTGCACGCTGCTCTCCGAGTAAGCAATGCTGCTCTGGCAGCACAGCGCACGCGGGCTCGGGTTGTGACGCTGGTACAGTCGTCAGGACGTGCGTGGGGCCGCGGTAGCCAATCTAACTCATACTAGTCCTGAAGTGACCAGGACGCGCACCACATGAGTCCCCCGTGCCCAGCGTGGGTCGCAATTTCTCAGCGTGGGGCGAGTGCCAGCTCCTCTCTGTCCCCCCTTGAGCATGGCATGGGTGACAGGAACGACAGCAATGTCAGGAGGTCGTGAGTCTATGTTGGGACTGCTTCTGACTCACGTGCAGGAGACGCCCAGCGTTTAGGTTAGTGAGCCACGAGATGCCCCCGACCTCTGTGACCGTGGCTGGTGTCCTCTCCCCAAACCCCAAAAGGACCTCAGCTGCTTCCCACATGGCTCTTTGCAACGACCCACAGCCCACACCAGAAGCTCAGGCGGTGGCCTTGGCCCTCACGTGTGCCTGCCACCCCTACACATGCCCCTCCGGCTCCCAGGACCCCCCCAGTGCCCCTGCAGTCCGCACGCACCAAGCTCCATCCGCAGTCCCCTGCTGGGGACTCCCACTGCCGGGTCTGAAACCACCCAGGCCCTGGAGGCTCTGCCCTGACGGGCCCTGATCACCTTTCCAGCCATGGCTGCTTCTCTTCCTGCACTTTGTGCTCCTAAACATGACTTTCCAAGTCACGTTCAGAAAGCTCTCTGTGAAGTCCTGTTACCTCCATGCAGGTGTGGTGGAGCCCGTGTCTGGGTCTGGTGCCAGGCCCAGGACTGCCCACCACACACTCGCGACGGGGAGAGGGCACCCCTGAGTCTGCGCTCTGTAGGCTGCCGGCCTGGGCTCTGAGGGAAGCCAGCACAGCCCCCCGAGGGTGACAACCTTGGTCAGGTCCAGCGGCCCTCCCTCCAACTCTGAGCTTGATTCTCTCGCTGGAGCCCCCTCCCCACCAAAGAGCACCGAGAGCACAGCACGGTCCTGACAGGGGCTCAGGAGCCCAGGGTCCCCAGCAAAGACAGCAGCATGGCTGAGCCCTGGGGGCCTGTGTCCCAGCCCAGCCCTGGCCCTGCCTCCGCTCTGGTTTCCCCACAAAGCAGACCTCAAGCTCAAAGCAGCTGCTCTGCCCCACACTGCAAAGGGTGCCCTAGATGAGCCGGGAAGCGCGCTGGGCTGTGGGGAGAAAGCAGCCCAGAGTCAGCCCGGGAGAACAGGGGGACCGCCAAGGCCGGGAGAAGCACCCGGTGCAGCCCACGGGGCACTGGAGTGGGAACCGCCACCTTTGCTTTCATACCTTTCGAACACTGTCGACTCTCACGAGTCTCTATTAAAAAGGGGGAGATGCATTAAGGGAGGGACACGGGGTGGTCATGGTGTCACAGAGACAATCACACAGGGCTCTCAGGGACACAGCATGGCTCAGATGCAGCTGGTGAGCTGGGCAGAGGCTCCCCAGAAACCCGCCTGCTGCCACGGTACTCACAACCGTACTTTTATGTGTGGGCTTACCCCATGTGGAAGGCGCTCGGCCACCGCTGCCCCACAAGGTCCAGGACAAAGGACTGTCAGGGCCACCCCAGCCACAGCCATCTCACCACCAGGAGTCCCTGTGTGCTGGGCGGGCCTGGGCACCTGCCTACCCTGGGCCCCGCGGGTGCTGGACACAGGCTCTGCCTGCACAGATGCAGACATGCAGCTGTGGGTGCAGGTACGGGCCGGTTATGAGGGGCAGAAGGCGGGATGACCCCCGTGGGCCCAGACCTTGGCAGTCCCTGTGCGCGTGAGCTGTGGGCTCCATGGCTGGCCGGGAGTGGACCCTCCCCTCTGGGGACATAGCCACCTGCTCCTGACCGCCTCTGTGAAGATCCCAAGCTGAGCGACTGCCCAGGTTCCCGGGCCCCCTTCCCCTGGGGAAGCCTGTCTGGATGGTCTCTCCACAGTCACATGGTCACACGGCTGGCCCGGGGGTCCTGGCATGGATCGAGAGCCACCTGAAGAGTCAACCACTTGTTGTGATAACGTAACCTTAAATTACGGCTTCGTTTTTAAACTGACTGCCCCAAAGCCGTTTTTGCTGTCTCTGTTCCAAAGCAACACAAAGCTACAGTGAGCTAAACAAAATGTCTTCAAGTTAAAAAAAAACAAGTGTACACAAGCCAACTGTCTCTCTGCCGACCACAGTGTGTCCAGGGACCACATGCAGGCTTTCCTGGCCAGCAAGGCCCATGACCCCACCCCGTGCCCAGGGCGTTCCTGGGACTAGAGCCCAGACCCCCGCCTGCCTGGCAGGCCTGTCCACAGAGCCACCCGCCCGGCAGGCAGGCCTGCACACAGTGACACCAGCCCGGCAGGCAGGCCTGCACACAGTGACACCAGCCCAGCAGGCCTGCACACGGGGCCACCTGCCCGGCAGGCCTGCAAACAGAGCCACACCCTGGCCTTCCTGTGGGGCTGCTCTCACTGCAGTGGGCCAGGGCTCGCAACACCCCCACTCCACAGCCCCTGATCACGCAGAGACCTGTCCCCTACCATGCAAAGGCCAGTCCAGTAGAGGCTCCATCCACCCTACGTGGAACCCCAAATGTGCCAGTGGCCTTAGACAGGGTGCCCCTTCTCTGGCTAATCCAGGAAGTGCCCAAGTGTCCGACACAGCAGAACTTCCCACCACAGGTGCTCGTCTGAGATCCCACCACAGGTGCTCGTCTGAGAACTTCCTGCTGCTCGGGGCCCAACTGCCTCGGGGACTGGTCTCCTCTCTTCCCCCTCCCCACAACCCCCCAGGCCAACACATTCCTCAGCCTGTTATTTTGACCATTCTATTCCCAGACTTCCAATTCCCTGGACCCCTGTCCTTTTCAGGCAAACTTCAGTCCCCCACCCCGCAACTCTGCCCAGATTACAGGCAAGGGCCTTCAAAACACAGGGCCGCTGGGTGGGCTTCCCAGTCCCTCACTCTACCGGCGCGTGGCCGCACTCCCATCACCTGGGGTGACCAGAGACCCACAGGTGGGGACTGTTCACCTTCCACTGTCAGGCACAGCCCTCTGCAGCCACCCCAGCGCAGGTTCCTCCTTCCTTGTGACAACAGATGAGGACCAAGGACACCCACTCCCTGCCAGGAACACTCCTAGGCTGTCTCCAATGCCTGGCCCAGATGACCCACACCCCATTGGGTCTCGGCCTTCCTGACCCCAGACAGGGCTCCTTGGAACACCCTCCTTTAGCACCTGATGTGCTCCTCCCAGCCCCGTGGTCCTAAAGTGGGTGCCTTCAGACGGGAGGGAAGAGGTGGAGGTGGAGGCTGGCTGTGTGCCCACTGAGTGTGGCCAGTCTTGCTCATAACATGGCCCCAGGACCCGGCCCAACACCTGGACCCCTTGGCGCCAGGGACTGTCTGTTGAATGCACCAAGGAGGCCCTGTCCTAGCACAAGGCGCCCGGAGAGCCCCAGGAGCAGCCGGGCAGCCCACCCATCTCCCAGTTGCCCCCAAGCAGGTGGTGGGTGATGAGCGATGGCACCATCAAGGTCTTCCCTGGCCACCTCCTCTCCCTGCCTCCCTGGCTGGCATGGATCCAGGGAGGAGTCGACGAGGCCTCGGTGTCCCACCCTAGTAAGTGCCCACCTTGGGTGCAGTCTCCTCTTCGTTGTCCATCCTGGTTCCGCTTGCGTCACTGAGGACGGGGCTCAGGAGGGGGGATGAGCCCCGGTCACCTGGGCTCAGAGTCACCTGAAACGCAGAGTTCAAGCTCAGTGGGCTCTTCCAGGTGGAGAGAGAAGGCTGAGGTATCTCCGAAGAAAGGCCTGGAATTGGAATGGGGGGTGGAGATGAGAAGGGCTGAGGTTGGCCGAGAACCACCACCACACGCTGACCCTGGGTTAGACGCTCACAGTAGCCTTATGTCACCTTGGAAGTTTCCAGAAAATGTGCATCTAAAACCCTGAATCACATGAAATTTTACACACGACCTATGCAGTATATGTTAAGGGTTGCTGGTGGACAATCTGACCTCAGTTGCAAGACTGTCTGGACTTCCTGGGACCCTGCAGGGGTTTGGACAGTCCTCCTGTGCTGAGGGGCTTCTCTTTGCTCTAGAGAAGATACAATTGGTATAAAACGCAGGGCTCCAAGGTCAGTAAAGCAAATGCACCACTGGGGAGGGGACACTTTCTGTGTTTGAAATGAAAAGCATATTGGTGGAGGTTAGGGAAACCTCAGCTGATGCTACTGATACATACGGAAAAGCAACGCCTCTCTTAATTAAGGTAACCTTAAAAATCACTGGGTCATATGCAGATGCTCAATTCATGACACTCTTTTCAAGTTCCCTTAGTTTTCCACTAATGAGCATGTTACCTTGGTTTTCTCGAGTTATACCACTAAAGTAACAATAATGTTTTTCCTTCTTGAAATGTTTGGTCTTGACTAGACAGAAGCCAAATTTGTGGCCTAATTCCAAGGAGGTTAACGATGAGCTACAATCCAGTGTACGTTTTCTAGTAAAGATATTCTCTTATCTATTGTTCTAAGATTTTTTTTTTTTTAATTCTCGAAGGTTTATTTCCAATGTTTGTCTATGGGAAATCAATAACTATTAAATGTCAAATTTTAAAGATATCTTTAAAGTTTTATAGGAGAAATTTAACTATGCTATCTAAAAACTACTTAAGATTGAAATTTACCTTAAATTTCCAAATGTGTAGTGTTTTAACAAGGAAACCCCCACTATTTCTAACTCTGATTACTAACTTGGCTCATAAAACACTGGGGTCTAGGTGACCCCATTGTAACCTATGGCTGCAAAAATACCACCTCGGGGCCTCCTGACTCCACCCACAACTGGCCTCAAAGCAGGGTTCTCTGGACGATTGTTGGGAACTTCCAATGCAGCTGCCTTTAGTGACCAGTTCATAGAATCAAAACTTGGCTCATTAAACTTGAAGTACGTCTGTGTGCAGACAGACCAGTGGAGGGCAGCGTCTTGAGTGCAACCACATCACCATGCCCCCCTCCCACTGGACCGGCTGGACCACGGAGCCACTCAACCCTGCAGAGCAGGAGAAGGGACGGGGAGCGGGGTCCTTATTTTCACATTGACAAATCCTGAGATCTGAAAAGACCACAACCCGGTGCGAGGGACTCCAGGATCAGGGGTCTTGTATACGAGATATGAATATTCCTCAGGCAGCTCGTGGCGGCAGAGCTTTCCTCCGGAATCTTCTACGAGAGAGGTTTGAGACCTGGGGAAACATTCATTCCCTGGAAAACCTAGACACCGTAACTACATGAAATTGTTCATAAATATGTTTATTAGAACTTGCTTTTATTACACATTTAGTTAAAATAGGTAAAGCACCCCTAAAGTAACAGACATATTCCTACCTCCTCTGCCCCACCACGCATGGGCTTGTCACTTCTGAAGCGGTCAGGGGAGCGGAGGGCTCCATGCTCACCCGAGGCGCAGGTTATTCCCACGTTGAGAAGAGCAAGCTCCCAAAGATGAGATATTTAGTATTTGCTCTCCAAAATCCTTTTTGTCTCTAATAAGCCAGAACTGTACAATGAGATACCTACACCTAACGGAAATTCAGAAAAAAAGCCTGGAAGCTACTAACCACACATTTATATATTCTTCACAATCATACGGTTTCAGGTGTTACAGCCAAGGTGTTTCATTCACTGCAGTGAAGCTCACTGTCTGACTCTCGTGCTTCCCAGCAGCGCCTCCCTCAGGCCGCGTCCACGGCAAGCTTGCTGGTGGCCGGCTCACCACCAGGTGGCTGGAAAAACCTGACTTTATTGTGAGCTAGCTGGCATCGTATGATGTACTCTACAGTCTTGTTGGCAAAAAAGGCCCTGGCGGGTGTGGGATTACAGGTCATCAAACTACAAAATGACTCCTTTTAGCGAACAGCCCTTTTCTACTCTGACACACACGGGGTCACCTTGACTCGGGATTGACTCGACGGCAGCTGGCTTAGTACGTAACTTGCACGGCGAGTAGCACCCTTCCGGACAGATGGCTCATTTTGGTTTTACGCAGGTTAAAAGCAATCATTTGATATTATCACTGTATATTACCTATTTCGCAAAAACTGCCAACTCACACTTTAGTGAATAGACTAGAAAGTACCACAAACTACCACTAAACATTTCCTTTCTTTAAATCTGCCTGCTATAATAAAACTTTTTAAACCACACCTACTTCAAGCTACATAAACACATCCTAAACAATCAAGTGACTAATCTGTGGGGAGAGGTTTTCAGGCAAAGGCAGTAAACGCATCAGTCCTAAACACAAGGCCTCCTGATGGGCTCCTCCATCTGGCCACGTCCCGTGTTCCGTGGCTGTTGTCTTCTCCCAGAGAACAATTTAGACGGGTTGTGCTTACCTTCACCTTTCCTGCAGGAGGCTGTTTCTATTCCTTGAGGACTAAGGTGAGCCTGACCCAAGCCATGATATTTTCAATTGCCTCATATGCATGCGAAAGCTGGACAATCCATAGGGAAGACCGAAGAATTGACACCTTTGAATTATGGTGCTGGCTGCTGTGCTCCACAGCAGCGTGAGAACAGGGCTCAGGGCCAGAGGATCTACTGGTGGCTTGGTACCCAGGAAGGGCAGGACGTGTCAGTGAAGATACAGAGAAACAGGCAGCTTCTTCGGGGACTTGTTTAATAGGTGAAATAATCTTTAACTTGTTTAAATCAAAACCATAAACAAGTAGAGGGAAAGAAAGCTAAAAAGCCCATTATTTAATTCATAGTAAGTATTTCCTTATTTTATTGAAGAAACAATTAAATTCTGAATTAGTACAAATCTGCAGATTCATAAAAGGTCATTTCAACAGTAAACAAATTTTACAAGTACCACGAACCAGACAATGAGAACGTTCTTTAAAGAATGTACAAGTTCAGGGCTGGAGGGAACCCCCCCACTCACTCCTCTTGTCTCAGGGGTGCAGACGCTGACCTGTGCGCTAAGGAGCGCCCCAGGCAGGGGCTGCTGGGGAGGACACTGCAGTGCCCCGGACGTGGTCTGTGATGGTGTCTTTTGTACTTGCAGCCCCATAACATGCACGCAACGTAAAGGACAAGTGCCGGGGTGAAGCCACAGCGGAGCAGGAGTCCACCGACTGAAGAACAAGCGTGAAAACTCAGTTTGAAGCACTGGGAGAACACGAACATTTCTGTCTCTGTGAAGTAGCTGTTCTAGGAAGAGGTTGCTGTTTTGATGTTCCAGGAGCCGGGAGGGAGCACGAGTGCCTTGAAAACACCCACTGGCATCACCGGGCCACGCCGTGCATGTGCACCGTGTGACCACGGTCTGACTGTGGCACTGGCACAGCATGGTGGCTCCTGCAACATGGGACGCCAGTGGAGCTGGCCTCAGAAACCTCCACACGCCCGTGTATCACGCAGCCTGCAGGGAGCGAGTCCCCTTCGCAAGATGACTTAACAGACAGGCTTGGCCACTTTGACACTGAGCTCACGTTCTGTGTGACAGTGTGCATCCTGGGTAATTAGTAATGTTAACTGGAGAGGGTATCCTAATTTAATCCCATTCTCATAAAATTCCTTATAAAATTTTACTAAAAAAAGCACATATCAATGTCTACTGATTAAAAAACATAGTACACGCCATTACAGATGTTTAGTATAATTTTAGTAACACTTAGCTATATTGTTGTTAGACTTTAAGTATTCATATATTGGCTTATATAAAATACCTGAACGTTCGAAATTTAAATGCAAAAATAGATTTGATACCTAATAAAAACACTCTGCGTAGAGCAGAGGGTAGTGTTCGTGCGAGACTTAATGGGAAGGCTGCACTGTCTTATGGCCTCAGGCTGCAAGGGGGACCACGGCCGCCCCTGAGTCATCTACCTGCACTGATGCACCTGACCTACCTACACTGATGCAACTGGCTGCACAAAGTGACAGAGGGCAACCTCCTTCTCGGAACCTCCTACCCCACCACGGCCTCCTCACAGCACTGGCATAACACCTGCCTGAGGCCACAGCAGGCCCGACAACCACACCATGAGGCTCTGGATACAAACAGGGAAACAGCCTGCAGGCACTCCTACCCAGGCCTCCAGGTGGATGGACCCTGCTCCGCGGGCACTCCTGCCCAGGCCTCCTGGTGGACGGGCCCTGCTCAGCGGGCACTC